GAGCGCAGCGCGAAATCAAAGCGGCTAGTTAAAGGGGAAATTTAAAATTGGCGATGCACCCGTGAGCATAAACGCTTGGGAAACAGGACGCAGGTTGGTCACACACCTCTCCCGCAGTTTCCCCCAGTACGATGCTGCAAGAGCTGCCAGGGCTTGATGCCAATAGTGACTCCAATCCTGAATTTAGACGCTTTTAAGGGTTTTTTCCTTATCGTTGAAGCTCTATAAAGTGAGATGAGATAGGATAGGATATTTCAGTTGGAAGGGACCTACAACGATCATCTATCTAGTCCAACTGCCTGACCACTTCAGTGCTGACCAAAAGTTAAAGCATGTTATTATTATTATTATTATTTACCTTCCCTTTCTAGAGAAGGGCAGACACAGTTTTCTTCTCAGCTGTTTCATTCACATCAGATTTTTCACAGCTTCCATCTAATCTGTCCCATTTTTGCAGCCAATGTGCAACCAGGTAACCACATCCACCACATCTCCTCCAAAGAGGACAATAGCCGCGGAGGTCTTTGTACTAAAGTCACTAATGTATAAAAAGGACCCTTCTTTCTTGCTTTTTCACTCAGCAGAGGCGGCTCAGCATCACAGCACGACAACAGAAAGGAGCTCAACTAAAGGGGCTAGATGGCGTGTTTTCCTGTAGTGCTAACAGCAGCAGGTTCTGCTGCCCTTCCTGGGACCTTTCCACACCCGCCTGTGCCTTGCTCAGAGCTGGCCAGCATGCTGCAGCCAGCCTTTGGCCAGTTTTCCAGCTAGCATTAATGAAAACACACCAGATTTCACCCCAAAGTTTCATGAATCACCGATTGAGGCATGTAAAGAGGGCACTTCCCGAGCTTGGAGGATGAAGGGTCACTGCAGCCATGAAGGGGTTTCATTCCCTCACTAGCACAGGCCTAACGAGTTGGATCTTCTAATTGCTGTTTGAAAGAAAGTAGCAGAATTATTTTATGCTTCTTAAATTGTTTCCTTTAATAGGAAGTGCTGCTTTACTCTACCTTGTGCTTCTGAAACAAACATTTGTGTTCCAAAAATATACAGTGTACACATACTCTGTAGCTATAGATACAAACATTTACAAAGAAACGAGCAGGCTGGAGTGGACTAGCTTGAAAAATCTCAGGCCTTTCTGGGCCTCCTAGAGCAGGACTAGCTGGGCTCACCAGGCCGTAAACAGATCGGGGCTACTGAAAAAACACGATTGAGAAAAATCATACCCTTGGTGATTACATGAAACAATGTGGATCAAAAAAACTTCCACACACTGCAGAGGTTTGGAGTTTCTGTTGCCTCTTCCCACCCCCTCCTTTTGTCCCTATGATCTGCCTTAATATCTGCATCCCGAATCCAAACTGACTGCAGCCTACCCATCTGTGTCTTCTCTACTGCCAAAGGGCTGATCACTCTCATGGGCAGTGCTCAGCTTTACACCAAAGAGGAAAATGTGGTTCCCGAGACATTTGGTTTCATTTGAAAGGCTTCCTCAAACTAAGGGAAACTGGATACACTCTACAGTCTTAGCATATTAGCGAATAGGTCGGTATGGGAATGTCATTCCTGGTATAAATGTTTGTACAGGGTGAGCTGGGAGCGCTGGGTGAGCCGGGAGCGCAGGGTGCGTGGCATGTGCAGGGTAGCCCAGAGGAGGAGTATGAATATGAGGATAAAATCCTGGTGGCAGAGCGCCGTGGGTCGGTTGCTGTACTGGACCTGAAATCACCAGCTGGAGCAGGCTGTGGAGAGAAATTCAGAAAGGCGCAAGGATTATTTAGAGAAGGCTTTTGTCGTGGTTTTCCCCAGCCCACAAGGCCTGGCTCTAAAGACAATTCATAACCAACACACAGCACTGCTGAGAGGCAACAGGACCGTGATTCAATTATGCTCTTTACAGCTTCCAGCAGACTGTTTTTTTTTTTTTCTTTCCTCTTTTGTTTTTTTTAAACTTGGTTGCTCTTTGCAAAGAGGCAAGAAGCAAAGTGCAGTTAAGTTTAAGGTCAGGTAAAACAAGCAGGGAGTTGCGGATGGGACAACTTTGGGGCAGGTTCCACACTGTAATTTCATTTTTCCCTTCTGTGCACTGGTTCTAACACAGGCTGGGCAAGATCATCTATATGGTGGTAGTCACTGAAGTCTCCTTCAGTCAGGAGTCCAGCCTGCAAGTAACCAGCACTATCACCTTTATCCTTGCGCTACACTGTGTGTGAATAAAGGCCAATTTCCACAAAGTAAACACAAATTTTTAGAGGAGATTTTGTCTCAGCAGCTCTCAGGTGCATGTCTTGGAATATGCATCAAAACCAACACAGCTGTAGAAAGGTCTCTTACTTGTTATGCGGTAGCCTGGAGCAGACAGTTCTCAAGTCATCTAAAAGAGGACAGAAGACATAACAATAAGAGTAAAGCAGAAATTAGAGCATTTTTCCTCTCCACTCTCCTTTCTAGGAAGATGAGATTACTGAAAAAGCTCCAGTCATCAACAGATCCAGAATCCCATTCTCAGGCCAAAAACTTCCAGAGGAGAGAAAATGTTTCTCCATCTCACCAGTCATTACTGCAGCTTTTTGCACTTGACACTTTATTGTATGTTCAACATTTAACCTACCATATGTGAAATGCAGCTTCATTTCAAGGCAGACCAAGCTTTATTATAGAATTTGCAATATCAATATGCTGTCAAGAAGTAACTAAGACATAGAAAATACAAGGCATGACTCTGCCCACTGAATATGGGATTTATCATGAGAAAGGCATCAGGTCAAAGCAAGGCAAAGCTTACCCAATACCTGTTTTGCATTATTAGGTTTGTTTTTGTTTTGTTTTTTTTTTTTAAATGGTGCTAGTGTAAAGAAAGGGTTGAGGGTTTTTTTGCTGGGGTCTATTAACTGAAAGTTGCACCTTTTTTACCATCTTAATGTCTTTTCCAGAACATTTCTTGGTAACATCTGGATGCCTCACCTCTTTGTGAGCTGCTCCCATCTCTTCCTTGGTCCCATGCAAGGAGTACTTCTTTCAACCAACTTTCAGATATTGATGAACAGTTTGTATTTGCCTCTCCAAAGCAGAATAGCTAGAACCAAGGTATTTAACAACATACCCTGTTGCTAGAGTCCTTTCGGGAATAGCTTGAGAAGAAACTCCTGCCTTTGTAGATAAACGCACCCCCAAAACACTGAAATAACTGGTATTTCAGCAGGTGCTTTACTGAGCTACTTTCCACTTCTACAGTAAAAGCAAGCACTCAGAATGTACCAGGTGAACAGGCAGGAAAAAGACACAGCCAAAATAAGCTATCAGCTAAAAAAACTCCACTTTTCTGCCTGTTCTTATTACATCCTGAGCTACTTTATGAAAGGTTAGAAAGAATAACATTGACATTTGACCAGCAGCACTGGTTCACCCAGGGCAAAAGCCTCAGGCACCTGCTTAGGCAGAGGCTGCTCTCTGCAGCCGGGGTCTGCACTAACTGCCCGGGCTTTGGGGAGCTTTGAGCCTTCTGGTCTCACCAAGAATCACCTCTTTTCAAGAGAATGTATCAACAAAACAGTATGTCTGGCTGACCCTGTGCTGTGTTAAGGCACTTCCCTTTTTTGTCGCTGCAGGTCTTCCAGAAAGAACTGGTTTTGGCAACAGGAAAGACAGACAAAAGCCACATTAGCAGGCTTCTTTACTAAGTTTAACCGAAACTGTACACACTCTAATGGGGCCTCATTACAGGAGAGCTGAAGGCCCAGAAGTTCCAGATGAACAGTTTTTGTTTGCTTTTCCAATTCGTTATCTAGCACACGCACCCCATGGTTTATACTTCATGGTCTCTCCTCCAGCAGGCAAACTCAGAGAAGTCAAACTGAAACACAATTAAACAGTGCCTTTTAAATACCTACAAGCAATTCTGAGGGAGTCAAATTTGTCCCCATGCTGGACACGCAAATATAACTCCCTTGTGCACGCTGCAAGGTAGAAGATCAATTCTCCAGCTCTGCAAAGCAACATACCAGTCACCTGCATCAATGATCTCTCCTTTCTTACTCTCCATCCAGTTATTTTTCCTGAAGTATTTCCTGCACTATCACTTCCTAAGAGCGGCAAACTGCTACTTCTGCTGTGAACATGTTGATCTATACTCTCCCCATTGCAAAACTCCCTCTTACAACATCCACACACTGGAGGAGAAGAATCCTGTCCAGCATCTCTGCCAGCCCCACCGACAACTTACCTCTAGTGCACAGGAGTGCTCCTGATGCCATGGCCACTTGCAAAGCCTGAGCCAGTCTGTCCAGAGCCAGTTCAATCTCTTTGGATGCATTGAGAGGATTTAGTTCATCAGACAGTCTGTTAATTTCCTCAACGAGCGGAACCACGTGGTCAAAGGGTACTAGCCCCAGGCGCCCATAAAGGTTCTTCTCCGTTAAATGCCCCTGAAGCATCATAAGAACCTGCAGGACACTTAGATGCAGTTTTGAATACAGCTGATGGCAATCTCTGTCTTCTCCTGAAGTGGAGTCCTTGGCAACTTTGCTAGTAGGGTGTCCATTTGAGAGAGAGGCTTTCTTCTTCCTTTTATAAGCCAAGGGGGCCTTCACACACCAACGGATCAGTCCAGTCAACGGGGTGAGCTCTAAAAAGCCTATTGGCAGGTTGGCTGCAATAGGAGTATTCAGAAAGGTGATGAGAATCAAGCGGGGGTCTTCAAAGATCCAGGAAACAATCAACTCTAGCAGATCCGAAGGAGGGATGAGGTCATCTGAAGATAGGAAAGATATTATTGAGTAAGCTGAGCCTTGCACTGGAGCACAGGACAGCAGTCTTCAATTAATCTCTCACACACACCCTTCCCAAACTGTCATAATTACAATTTCAAAACCTCCCCAACTCTGCTGTTTTTTTCAAGACATGAAAGGTAGGTGCTTCTTTGTCCCGGGAAGACACAACCGTGTTCCTGTCAACTTCACCTGCTCTACCACCAAATGCCAACATTTATCCCCTTTCCCAGCAAAGCTTCTTTTGTCATTTTCTTCTCTCCCACCCATCATCTGCTCACTTTTTCTCTAAACTCAGTCTCCATCTATCCCTTGCCCCAGGAAGTACAACAGGCAAGGGAACAGGAAAAACCTGTTGGCACTTCTTTCTCTTCACCCCAATCATTCAACTCATTTCCTTTAAGACTTAACTAAACAAGCATGTCTTGTAGAAAAACTTAACACAACAACGTGATCACATGACAGGTAAAGGATAATAAGATTATGTAAAGCTTCCAGTAAGAAGTGAAAGGTGGTCATGAACTGCAGCTTGACTACAGACAAGAGAAACATTGACATTCACGGTAATCGTGCATCATCCCGTCACAGGGGCAGGCTACTGGATTGAACGGCATATTTTCATTGCGAATTGTGTACATTGTCAACAAAGGGCTCAGCACAGAACTATCTAGTCAGGTCTTTGTACCTGAAATGACTTATAGGGCAAATCATCTGGACTACAGAATTACTAATGTGCACTGGATACAGAATTGGTATTTTCCAGTTTTTTAGCTTTTCTGAGACCTCCGAGTATCACAGATACTGCTGTTTGTGTGATCGACTCCTGTCCTCAGGACATGGTGGAGACTGCCCAGTTACAGATTGCAACTTGATGAGCAAGCTTCCTTTTCTTGTGTCACCAATAACATCTCAAATAAACTAAGGAATTAAAAAAAAATTACTTCCCATAACTCATGTTATTTCCTTTCTGACATGTCTTTTAATTAGTTGGACGAACTTCCAAGTGGTTGCACAAAACAGATATAAAATACTGAGGAAGAATATGCTACAAGCTCTACCAAATACTTTCTTTAAAAAAAAGCCTACTCCTCTCTCTCACTAATGCCAAGCTGCTTATCTGGAGAAGACCATGCAAAACATTTCCTTTACCAATAACAAATAGTATTTGCTTTTTTGGATTATATGCAATGTTGGTATTTAGCGTATGGTTGTTCCCTAGTCTACCACGAGTTCTCTGTCTCTGTCGCTGAGTAAAGGTAAATCAGTCTTATTTCAGACATCTACACGTTTCTAGCATCTGAGCAACAACCACCAGAGGCAGACTGTATCACTAGCTGGTCACACATGTAGTTAAAGAGTGCACTGGAGGTATGCTGTTGATCGCATTTCTTGTCACTGCTCAACAGAAATCCTGCTCCAGCTTGCGAACATTCAGAACTTGCATTTTCCCCCTTTTTGGAAGGAATTGGACTGACTGACTATATGCTAGGTAGGTGACACACAACAGGGAGGCCAAACTGACTGGCCCAGGCAGATCAGCTTTCACTCCTAGAGCTGCTCAATCAATAAGGTCCCTGTGTCCTTTGCCCTCTGTGGAGGACATTGCCCTTTGCATCAGGCGTTACCTGGCTGCTTCTCCAGCAAAGGCTCTCCCTGCAGCCACTGCATGGTTATTCTTGTTCTCACCCCAGTGACAAATGAGGCAACAGCCACACCCCTGAGCTGCTTCTGGCAATAATTACATAGTAACAAGCATCTTTAGAATTTCAGCAGTTAATTCGCTTGCAACAGTTAATTTGTGTTGCATTTTTCTGCATCTCTTTCTTCGACAGACACCACTTGGAAACACTTACCTGAAGAGAGGTCGTAGAGCGCTGTGACTGATGTAATGAACTGGCAGCAGAAGCGAGGACTGGCGCTGAATATCTGCTTCAGCGTCTGGATGGACCCTGGCACCAAGTTGCAGTAGTCATCAACCAAGGCTCGGGCTAGCCTCACACAGTACACAGCAGGGGTTCGCTGCAGGGATGTGGGATGGCACACAAGGAAAAGCAGATTAAATCCAGTCACAGAAAGTTCTACAGAGCTGACTTCAAAGTTTACGTTGCCAAACACTCTCCTGCCCACCTCACCCAGCCACTTCGCTGTTTCAACATTTGTGATTCCACTTTCCCAAAATTAAAGCACGCTTCCTCTCTCTCTGTATATCAGAGATTCACTCGGACAGAAATAAAATTACAATTTCATGATATTAAAATAGGTGGTGATATTTTGTGTTTACAATAATTTCAAATTAAAGCCTTTTAAATCATTATTTTGACTTAGATGGAGATTTTTTTACTACTTCAGCAACACAGCTCTGTAGTTCAACTAGTTTAGTACCAGAAAAACTAGTTCAGTAACCTCTCAGTTACACTTGACATTTTTAATGTGGAAAAATTCTGTGCAATCCTCATGTCACTTTAGAGCTGCAACCTGCAAAAAACTACACCTTCTTCTGCTATCCAGGTTACATCCCCTCCTCCTCCTCTACCAAGGCTCACCAGGTGGGAAAAGAGGGACCCCACAGAAACTGTACCAGTCTGCCTCCTACCACCCTTCCCTCCCAGCACAGTCTTTCTGCTCTTCCCCTTCTGTAAAGCAGGTGACTTCTGCACATCCTGCAAAGGCAGCAGAAACAAAGATGCACTTCCCAAGGTCTACAGTGGGAATCTCAATGGGAAAGGGGGAGATATAGGAGATTCCTTATGTACTGCATTTATGGATATGAATAGCGGACACAGGTATTTTGTGCCCAAATCTCAAGAGAGATTTGTCTCTTCTGCCATGCCCAAACATGCACATGAGGGACAGTTTATTTCCCAAACTCCAAAGTCAGCTTCTTTGGGCAATGTGACCACAAACTGCCCTAGTTTTGTTCCTTGCGTTGGTCAAACCCTCCACTGATTCCTTTTGACATGCTGGGGTTGGGGAAGTAGAGGGGGAGAATCAATAAAAATTTCACCCACAGTAAAAAGAAAACAAATTTTCTTCTGCCAGCGCAGCACACAAATGGATTGGCAAAAGCAAGGTAGAGCTACTTTATGCTGGAGCAAAGGAATGGACACAAGCACAGATGTGGGGTGAGTGTAGCTGCAGCAGCCAGCTGTCATAGCATCTTAAACTGCCATAGAGGAGCAGCTGACTGCAACCGGCTGTCACTGACTGTTAGGTGACACTCTGCCTCAGTTCACCTGTACCCACACTGCCTTGGTCCTTCCCCGAGGCTGCCCTGTCTGCCACAGAAGCTGTACCTGCAGCCAGAAGGCAGCACATTCTAGAACTGGAACCCTGCACACAGCCACTGCCATGGAAACCAGCTTTCCTAGTAAAGCCATCCTGCTGTCATCTGCTTTGTTTCCTTGAGGGCTGAAGAGAGATGAGAAAATGATCTGCCGGACTGAATCCTTGGTTTGCTCTTGGAAATAATTGCACATGATCTCAAGGAGCTGAAGTTCCTGAAGTGAATTCAATCTCTGAAAGAAAACAAAAGCAAAACTGCAAAATATACTGGGGCTCTTGAAGAATCAAGAGCTGCTTTAGTGAAAGGCAGGAACAGTAAAGGCTGAGAGCTTCCCTCAGGTGTTAGGAACTCAATTGTTATGTACAGCACACATATTCAAGCTTCCCGAACCACCACTGCATTTACCTACTTACACAGAAAAGCTCTAGGTTGTATTTGAACACCTGCATACTCAAGGCTGGTGCTTGCTGTACCAGCAAGTGCTGCTCAAGAACTGAGAGATAAGACCTATAGCAATACTGCAGTGGAAAATATTTCCTCCCTCTCCAAGTAACAGCACTGAGGGCAACATGAGGCAGCCTGGGGAGGGGGTAGGTGTCACACCTGGTCCCAGCAGCCCACCAGGCCCACTCACCCCGACATTCGCCAGCAGCTGTGGTTTCTGGTCGCTGCTCTCTGGGAGGTCCCCACCTCAGCTCCAGCTCACACTCTGCCATCTGAAAACCCTTGTGCAGCTCAGCTGCAGCACTGTGAGGCTGTGGGCAGTCCCCAGGGGCCTTAGGCCCCACCACACCACACCACACCTCACCCCTACCTGGGAGACCAGAGCCCCGTCCAGTCCATTGGGGCCTTGCCAG